AAACTAATTTGAAACTATTATTACCGTAATTAATACGTTCAAAATCCACAAGTAAAACCCCAAAATCTGAAACCCCTGAATCAAAGAACCTAGAGAAACAAACCCCTGTTGCAGATTGTGGAGCCCTCCACCATTCAGGTGGCGATAATGGTGGCGCTGTGCAGTAGCGTCTTCCTCTCCTCAACCAAAGACTTCGTCAACGCCTCAAACCTCCGACTAGCTAAAGCTGGGCTTTGCGCTCAACTTATCGAACCTTCTAGCTTAACTTGCTCGGAAATGCAAAACACTAACAAAAGATGGATTCGTCCAATCTGATGCTAGATTCTTCCATCTATAAATCTCGTTTGAGTCTTTGGCTGGACGTTATTTTTGAGATTTTTTTGGAAAGCAGACCGACTTCTCTCTCTCTTCATTCCTGCGAGAATCCCTTATTTCTTGGTGATTTAGGGTACATATTTTGAAGTGATATCTGGAGATTATTCTTGGTTTTGGGACAGGTTTACTGGTTGTTTTCGTCCTTGTGTGGGAACTCCATTTTTTGTGATTAAGGCTCATATATTTTGGTGGTTCCAGTATATGAATGTTGAGAAATCTTTTTTAATATGATATACCTAAATAGTTGTGGACTACTCAGTGGTAGTTTTGCAAGAATCTGTGTCACTTTTATAGATTTTGTCACTTTTTTGAGTTTTTTTGTCACCTTTTAAGTTTTTGTCACTTTTTTTAATATTTGTCACTTTTTTAAGAAGATAAAAAAGTGAAGTAATATGTTATATTTTCCTAATATAATCAATATGTTGGATTGTCCTAGATGTGTGGATTATGTTAAGAACATGTTTAGTAGTGGTGTACAAATGGATTTTTTTATTTTTTTTTATCATTGTCACTTTTTTTTTAGTTTGTATCTCTTTTTGAGTGTTTGTGTCACTTTTTTTTGTCACTTTGTTGGAGTTTGCATCATTTAAAAAAAAAAATGACAATGTTTCATAAAAAAGTGACATTGTGTCACTTTTTTTATTTTAGACAATATTTTTTACTTCAAAAAAACTTTTCATATGATTTTTCAAAACACTTCAAATTTTAAGAGTATTTTTGTAAGTTAATTTAGCTTCAAATTTAAATAGTTCATTTATAATCAAATTAGTTTATTATGTTAAAAATAATTTTTATTGATTAAAGTAAAGATAAATAATTTATTGTAACATGTCACATGTTTTACTAAGCTTAAAAGTAATTAACTTTTTCTAACATATTTTTTAATATATTACTTATTTATTCTTGTCAGTTAAAAATTTATTTATTTCGACCACGAAATGGATGTTATTATCAAAATAAATAATATGCTCTATATTTACTTTTATCTGTTAAAAATATATTTGTTAGAACTTAGTCATAAATGTTTAAAAATACATTTTGACTCATTTTGTCATTAGTGTCTAGAGTTTAACATTTTAAACTAAATCTCGAGTGACAAAGAATATCTATGAAAAAAAATTCAATTTTCAACCCACCCAAGCATATCTTCCTGGTTAAGCCCCTGATTCCTAGTCTCTTGTCTTTCTGTGAGTATATATTTTTGATAGATACACATACAACATAAAGGATTGTTGGTTTTGGGTTAAAAGAGGATATCATTGGGTAAAATGGAGAGCCAACCACATTTAAGAAACTCATAATCTCCCTCTACCCTCATTCTTTCCATCTAATTTCATTTGTCAAGCTTCGTATTTATATTATACCCAATTTCCTCTTTTACCCTCATTTTAATACCTTTTTACCGTTTGTGACTTCATGCGGTTTGACAATTTGAGGGTCCTATTGTATTTCTAGTATAATTATTGATATTTGGTATAGATCTGGAACCCTCAAGTCTCCTATGTCATTCCACTTTCTCTCGGCTTATACTCCATAGTAGATTATAGATTTATTGAGTTTAAATTTTATAGATTAGTTAAGAAAAATTTAAATGTACACTGCATACTTTAATCTAAGGGCCCACATTTAAAGTTTGTCTCAACTCTTAAAAATTCAAAGTTCAACTTTGGTTAAATTTCGCTCACACTGGACAATATTCTTGGTTCCGTACCTGTATATAAGTACGTAACTACACAATGTGGATGAATGATTTGGTAGCTAACGTTTGCGAAAGATGAACAACATCGTGTGTTTAGTCTTCTATTTATGGGAGTGATTGACGCGTAATGCTTTGATGCTTTAGTTGACAAGAGTTGGTATAGTTTTGTAAAGAGAGTAGTGAATAGTAAAAAATAAGAATTTGATGGTCTTAGACATTTCATTTGCCAGGAGAGTTTTTGTCAACCTGCCTAACACGAACCTCGTACAGAGGGGACAAAAGTAGTAGCCCAAATATTAGGTTGTTGGTGCTTCAATGCTTGTCCCTACTTCTTATAGTAGCAAAATGTTGCTACTGTTACCGTTATGGAGCCAACATATTTATAACCAACCATTCTCACGCTCTGTATTTTTCTTTTTCTTTTTTTGGTTGCTATAGCTAGGAGTGAACCAAAAAAAAAAAAGATAAAAATAAAAAAATCGTCAATTCACCAAAATCGAATCAAAACTGCGATTTCAAACCTTTGATTAAGGTTCATGTGATTTAGGTTTCTAGTGTTCAAAATCGGACCAAATCAATTGAAAATAGTTTGGTTTAGATTTCGATATTTATAACCAACTTGAAATCAAATCGAACCATTTATCTAATATTTTTCTTAAATTTTTTTATCCAATATATATTAAATATTAGATCAACTTATACTACAATTTTAGTGGGCTTCTATTAGTTTTTTCAGGAAAATAATAATTTATTAATTATAATACTTGTCTTATTTGACTCTTTGAAAATTCGCAAGTACAGGCAATTGTGATCAAGTAATATAATAGTGAATTAAGTGTCCAATCCACGAGAACTGTGTGTTTGATCGAGTTAAAGATATTAATACCCTTAATCGAATAATAATATTGAGTTATAATTAATCTATGTCTAATATATCAACTAACTAGAAAGTAAAGTAAAAGTTTATAAAATTTTTGAGGTGTGTTGCTAAAATGTAGAATCC